TGTCTCCTCTTATGGTAACTGATGAAAATGAGGAATCAAGAGATTGGGGTCGGTGTTCACAACACATACTTATCAGGCGACGGTGCACTGCCATATTCGATGGTGAATATAATGCATGAAGCATCCATCCCTAATGCTCTAGTAGAACAGCAGTTAAAGCTGATGACGAGGAGATCAACACTACGGGTTGCATACCTGAAACTCCGTCCTGGGCGCTTTTTTGGTCAGCAGAACGTTTGAACTCTGAGTCTTGACTATTATATGATCCATTGTGATCAAAAGGATTTGGTGGATAAGTTTTTTCAGTGAATGAAGGAAAGCAGTGCTTAAACAATTTCTGTATGCTTGCTTTTTTTTTCAGGTCAAAGGCTGAAAATTTTAATTAAACTCGCGAAATGATCTGCGCTGTCTCCTCCCTAAGGGAATGCCAACTCATGTGTTCTCAGTGACTATCAAATATGCAACAATTTCAATATAAGTCTTAGCTTCTTATTCAGAACCTTGACCTATTAAACCGACATTTTATAATGCAGGGCTTACAGATTACTGAAGTTTAAAGAAGGTTAGGTATCTTCTCATCCAGTTTGAGTTGATGAATCGACAGACCAACGGACAGATGTTGCTGTGCAGGATGTGCACTCAGAAGCGATGGTCCAATCTCTATCGCAATTAATTACCTGCTCCACCATACTATTTAGTTATAATAGCTAATAAAGTATCGAGAACCAATGCACATATGCCATAGCAGGAAGGGCTGAAAAGGAGATGATCATATTCACGGGTTACAGACTTGAACTATTCTTATTGTCATATTTTGGTCATAAAAACATTTGATTTCTGCAGCCTTGGTGGAGGTGAAATAGGCTTTCATATAATTCATTGCGATCAATTACGTACGTTGCATAAGAGTATTAGTTGGTAGGTGTTGATGCTGGGCTTGATTCTACTTATTTGTATTTCAGCAGCATACATATTGCGCGCCCACTTTAAGGATTAATAATAAGAATAAAGATTAGTAAACTTTTTTCCAGGATCGCACAACCTGACTTTGGTAGCTAATTTTAGCCGTGGGCAAGTAGTGTAACAGAAGAATAGGTAAGGTTGCTTAAGCAAGGAGCCAGACTGCAGTCCAATTCATTTTAATGGAAGGGGGCCATGCTAAATTCCGGACAAAAATCTATGCAATTAGTGTTCTTTGATGAGGTAAAAATAAGCAGCCCTTGTCAAGGCACACAATTTGTGGCACAAATTTAGAAGTAAAAGGTAAAAGTTGCAGATATTCTTAATCAGCATCTTAGCTAACGAAGCAGGAAGCATTTAATAAGCAGGAAACTATCTTGGCATTCAAATTTTAAATAACATTTTGAATCATGAAGCAAAAAAAATTCCGACACAGACAATCCCACCCCCTTACTCACATTTTTTAAGGAGACTGTCTACTTTGCTTAGCCTTGGACCCTCTGCTTGCCTACTATCGATCGAATGTGATAATTGTCAAACACCAGTTACCATAAGAGGAGATG